CTTTACATTTGCGGCAAGCATTCATCATACAACGCGTCATGTCAAGTACTCATCAAGGTTGCCACAAGGTGGCACACCAATTGAGTGAACATCCACATAAGGGGATCCGCCCTCTCCATTTACGCATTCTGATCATGGCATTACATCATGTCATATCACGCTACATTTTTTACATCTATCTAACAATATGATACCAAAAGCAATACATATCAATGTTAAACTTACCGCATGCTTAAGGATCCCTTAGGCTGTGCGACTACTTGTTATCGATATTTGTGCCAAACGCACTACTAGAATCCCAAAGCTAATATATATTACAATGCGAACAAATCAGTACTCTACATTGCTATACCACAAAGGAAAGTCAAAATCTCAACGACAATGCATGGGAGCTGAGTAGTGCCCCTACCAATTAATACCTAACAGGAGCGGGCGAGCCCCTCTACCGGTTAATAACTCATGGGAGCTGAGGAGCACCCCTACGTTTTCCACATCATGGGAGCTGAGGTGCACCCCTACTTTTTCAATACCTCATGGGAGCTGAGGAGCACCCCCTACTTTTTTAATACCTCGTGGGAGCTAAGGAGCACCCCCCTACTTTTTCAATACCTTGTGGGAGCTGAGAAGCGCCCCTACCAATCAATACGTCATAGGAGCTGGCGAGCCCCTCTACCAGTCGACAACGCACGGGAGCTGAGAAGCGCCCCTACCAATCAATACCTCATGGGAGATAAGAAGCGCCTCTACCATTCAATACCTCATAGGAGCTGGCGAGCCCCTCTATCATTCAACTACGCACGAGAGATAAAGAGCATCTCCAGCATTAAATACCTAATTGGAATTGGCAAGCGACAAAGAAGTAAGTCATACGATGATTAATGAACATCAGAAAATCCGTAAATTTCCCTTCATTGATCGAGGCTATCAGGAAATTTGGAGCCCTCGCAATCAGCGATCTCATACAAACCCATAAAAATGACTCACAGTTCTCACATCACCCTCAAATCATATCATTTTTCAAAGACTCTCACACAACTATCATGCTACTTCTTGAAAATGTGTTGTCTTTATAAGAACTTTGTATAACTCTTTATAAAAAAGATATACAAAGGAGGGCAACTGTAGACACCACATTTTGTCCAGAACAACCACTCTGCCTAAAACTCAAAAGGATAAGTTGAAGTGAAAAGTTGGACGAGATTGGTTGAGGTTAATTGTTGCAAATCAATAAGTATCAACGACTTCCGAGTTCACTATTATTTAACTCTGTTATCATATCATGGTTTGGGAAACGTTGATTATAAGTTTGGATACGGTTTAAAATTGGAGAAGCAAACGAATTGGGTTGGAAGAATCAATCGAATGTTTGAGCAATACATATAATGATCATCTAATTCTAAAGGCAATAACATAAATAAATAAATGTGTAATTACAAATTACAATTTATAATCTTTAAGATACACTTAGTAATTATACATTAAAAAAGGGCAATGTCTATTTTTTACCCAAACCTTTTTCAGATTCTTTTATTTTAACCAAACCTATAGAAATTCTATTTATTATCCAAACGTATTATAATTTATCAAAGTTTGGGCATTCATTCTGTTACCGTTACTTATTTCGTCCACGTGATGGTGAGATTTTGTTTTGTTTTTTTTATAATCTTTTTATTAAAAATAGTAAATGATGGTATTCTGACCGCAACGTAGGAAGTCAACTCATTATGGTCATACTTAGTCAGCATTACTAACAGAAAAGTTGACGGAGAGTTAATGTTTGGATAATTTTTAGGAATTCAATAGGTTTGGTTAAAATAAAAGAATCTGAAAAAGGTTTGGGTAAAAAATAGACATTGCCCTTAAAAAAAAAGAATTATGCTTTTGGTGGCACCAAGCAGAATTGGAGGCCTAGTCTTTTGAGACTGTTTGGGCCTCCTTCGGTCATCATTTTGGGCCAGAAACAGACCAGGGACCTGCAAAAAACAAGAACCCACAATCCAGGCCCATATTTCGGCCCAGTCTAGTCCAACCGGGTCAACTCTAGCCGACCCGCTCAACTCTGGTCGACCCAGCCAACAGAACTCATTATCCTTATCCTTTCCCAGGAGCAGCTGCCAATTCTCAAAAGAAACAAAGCAGTCATCTCCTCAAAGAACCAACACAAAACTGCCATCACAAGGGGTGGTTCGGGCCAACACTTCAGGAGCAAACAAAGAGCAGCCGGCACACAATAATGAACAGTAAAATGTGATGATATATAATGGGTTTCTCTTACCCCAAACAAAGGCAACAGAGAAGGACTTACAGGAAGGAAAGAACCAAAAAACACTAAAGAGACAGGACATTAAAACACAAAATAGACAGAGCACTAAGCACAAAAATGGGCGGACCAGGAGCATTAAGAGGCACAAAGGAGGCAAAAGTCAAAGATAGTAATAAGCCAACCCCATCAAACTCCACCAAACCACAAAAATAGGTTGGTGTTTCTTCACCACCAATCACTCAAGCACATATTCACCCATTACATCCATATAGTAATACAAAATCATTTAATATGGTTGTAAACGATGTTGCTTCTCTTTTTCATAACCCATTAGAATAGGGTGCTTAGATCTGTATGTGAAGTGGGCATAAAAAAGGTGTTGATTTTTGTAATATGTATGCTTCTTTAGGCCTCCCATTTCTGTCGTTATATACTATGCCTATCGCTTTCAGTTTTCTGGTAAACATAACTTTTGCCGAATGGCTAGCTAAATTTAGTGCTCTAATCAACCAAATTAGTCCATTTACTCTTGTAATACACCAATAATCCAACAATAAATTCAAGACAGCAAAAAGAATTCAAATCAGACCTTTGGGAGAGTATTTTAAAATACCTCTTTTTGTGTTTAAGGGCACCCCCTTTTTTACCCAATTACCAAAATTTGATAATCACAAAGTCCTCATTTAGTTATTATTTTGTATGCCAAATACAATAAAAGCCCTAATGTCATTTAGAATTTCATTTGTTACCAATTCGTATCAGCCTTTTAATCAATTGTTTAATCAAATCCCAACTCTAGAGAGATTCCCACCAAATTGATGGTCAAAAGCAGTAGCTGTGATGTCCAATTACCCTAAGACCATTATAGATTTACAAATTTTAATAAAGCAAGTTCTCGTTTTTACCATATCCAAAACCGAACATTAAGGGTAAACAAACCTAGCAGCGGTCCTAGCAAAATTTACTTTCATAACACCAAGGAGACTTATAAACCAAATCATAGCCACAATAACCAAACCATCCACTTTAGGTTTAGAAAAGGCATCACCTAGTTTCTTCAAACTGTAGAAATCTGCAAATATCAAGGATATCAAGGGTTAGAATCCCAAATAATGATAATAAACTAAAAACCCCATAATAGCAAAAAATCAAAATAAAAGAACCTACCCAAAACCAAACCTTGGCGTCGGCTTTGGTGCAGGCCGCGCCGCCGCCTCTCCTTCCTTCTCTCGGCGGAGATCCGAAACAAAAACAAAAAAAAAACAAAAAAAAAGGTTAAATCACGATCTAATGTACTAAATCGAACAAAATTGAGCATGCATGTGAGATGGAGCTTACCAAAGGGTGAGATCTCCCCATTGTCTCCTCTGTTCTAAATAGAAGGAAGAGATCGAGGTCGGGGCTAAACAGATATAGTATTCCCCCTCGATTTTGGGCCGATTTCCGGAAAATAAATAATGAAAAATGATTAGAATCGTCAAAACCCTAAAAATCAGACCTAAAGATAATAGAAAATCACAAAAGGGGGAGGCAAACCAACCTTTGGTTTTAGCCTCGACGCCGTCGCTGACGACGCATGCCTTCAGATCGCCATCAGCGACACTATCCCCTTTTCGTATCCAGAAGCAATGAGAAGGGGAGAATGTGGGGAGGAGTAGAGGAGAAGGTTCGCGCCGCCATCCCTCTCGTTTAGAGAGACGGCAAGAACACTTTGAGAAGGAAGGAGCAGAAGGCGGCGCGGGTCGGCTAGGGTTTCGTTGCCATTGGAAGAGAGATGAGAGATGGAGGGGGAGAGCGGCGGCGTGGTTTGATTCGGCTAGGATTTCGTTGGTTTGATCTCTGGAAGAGAAGAGAGGTGAGACGAGAGAGAGAGAGAGAGAGAGAGAGAGAGACGAGGGACGAGAGAAGAGAGAGGTGAGAGCAGCGGCCTTGGCTGAGGGTTTAGTTTGATTAGGGTTCCTTTAAGAAGAATTTATGGCCACCTGAAAAAGACCAAATTATCCCTAGGGTTTATCGTTAATTACGTGGCCTTGCCATCGGGTTCTGAGCAATTACGAAATTGCCCCTCCCCTTTCTTTGAAACAAAAAAAAGCGACTATTAAAAATGGCGTGGGTGGGTTTTCGAACCCTCGTTCAGTGGAACGAATGCGCTCTGTGGCTAGCAACTTAGCAAGTTGGGCTGCTGACCCATCATGCATTAATTTAACCATCCCGCTTAGTTTTATTTGTTTAAAGGTCGTTAATACGAAATGTGAAATGCGAATTAAGTTAGTTTTTATTCTTGTCTGATACATCGAATTTCTTCTTAATGATTAAAATTCTTGCATTCATCTTAGTAACATCATAATAATCCTTTTTTTTTTTTTTATAAATGGATGCGGGGCATCCTAGCTTTCATTCATAACCAGACGGGGCTCAGAAATCCCCTGGACATCATACAAGATCCAGTACACCTAGCGACAAATAGTGGTCTTGGCTAGCAAGGTAATCAGCACACTTGTTAACCTCTTTATAAACATGATAAAAGGCGACCTCCCAATCACGCTTGTATAGCGCCTGAATACGGTCGGTAATAGCACTATGCTGATGATCCGGGTGTGCGTTGCTGCTGAGAAGGTGGACAGCGCATCTGGAATCCAACTCCACCCTCACGCGACGAAAACCCAGATCCCAGGTCAGTTGAAGCCCTTCCGCAACGCCTCTCAACTCCGCTCGGGTGATCGAGCAGATCCCCAAGTTACAAGCGAACGCTGCAATGCAGTGTCCTAAGTGATCTCTGATCAGGCCCCCAGCGGCAACAGAGCATGAATCCTGGTGAACGGAGCCATCAGAGTTGAGAGTAACCCACTCGGGAGGAGGAGGCTTCCAAGAGATCAGCTCCTCCGTTCTAGCTGGCGGACATGGATGATGAACGATCATGTCCTTGTCCATGGCATTCCTCACGACAGTTAACCAAGCCAGGACGCGCTGGTGAAATGCTTCAACTGAGACGACCTTGTTTGCAAAAACTCGGTCGTTCCTGGTCCGCCACAGGGACTAGCAAGTGATGCCGAAGGCCAAACCCTTGTCCTCTTCAGCTAGGTACTTCGCAATCCATTCCTGCAGTGACAAACTGAAGAAAGTTTGGTATTCAGAAGCCTGGAGTAGCCGCATCCAAGTTAACCTGGCAAAATTACAGTCTCGCAACACATGCAAGGCTGTTTCTGTGTGGGAGTGACAATAGGTGCACGTCGTCTGATCCGTCAGATGTCTCCGGCTCCGTTCGGCATTGGTGAGGAGCCTCTCTCGAACTGCAAGCCAAAGGAAATGCTGAACCCGCGCTGGCCGCCTCCATTTCCAGATGATGCGCCAATCGAACTCCCTCTCCATCTGCTCGTGGTTAACTGCAAGGTCGTAGGCCGATCGGACGCGGAACCGGCCATCCCCCTCGGGTCCCCACGTGGCTACGTCCGTTCCTGAGCCCTCTATGCGAGGTTGAATCCCCTGTATCTGCAAAATCAAACCCTCGGGTCCCCACGTGGCTACGTCCGTTCCTGAGCCCTCTATGGGAGGTTGAATCCCCTGTATCTGCAAAATCAAACCCTCGGGTCCCCACGTGGCTACGTCCGTTCCTAAGCCCTCTATGGCTACATCATAATAATCTAATGGAAATTTTATTAACAAACTTATGATGCAAAAATAACGTTCAGTGGAACATGATAAAAGTCAGGATTAAAACTATCAAATTTAACAAAACCCTTAATACGAGAGCCACTATAGGTGTAACGTGACAAAAGTCATACAATTAAATTATCAAAATTCAAACGAACTACGTGAACTTTGATCCCGTCTAATGGGTACGTAGGCAACCGATAAGGTTCGAGTCCAACTAACCAATTAATTTTATCTTTTAATTTTTACGTCAGTGGGCGTATAATTAAATTAAAATTAATATGATTTAATTATTTTAGTGTTCCAATAAGGCCCTAAAAATATCTAAAATATCTAATCATGAACTAAACGTCCAAGGACGTATTAGATAAGTCATAAGCAATATGTTAATAATCCAGTGGGGTTTTAAAATACACAATAATTACCAAAATGTCACCCAACACACATAAAACTTATCAACTTAAGTAGTACCGATTTAGGGCGTTGTGGGGTGTGATTTCACTTCCCCACACGTAACCGTACTCCCGAACCCGAATCTCTTAACCGCAGACCATATCTCAGTTCTGACACTAAGGTTAGGGACGATTCGAAGAATGTTCGATCCACTCCAAGTAAGATCAATGACGACTCCCAAAAAACGAACGCGACGAATCCCAACCCCGGAGGGACGGTTGCAAAAGATGCCTATTAAACAAAAACTTGATGCTACTTTTAGAATAAATGATTTAGGTCCTTTACATTATTTCTAAGGGTTAGAAATAGCACGTTGTTCTAAAGGACTCACACTTTGCCAAAGAAAGTTTCCTTTAAAAATAATTGCAGATTCTTATTTACTTGCTGGAAAAGTTTCAGCCTCTCCTTCCGGACCAAACGTCGGACTTTCAGCTACATCTGATAACATCCTTCCCCTTATAGGAGGTTAATAGGATGTTTGTTATACTTATGTACTACTCGTCCTGATATTTAATATGATGTTCACCATATTACTCAATTTGTAGCTACTCCTACTGATTTACATATGCAAGCTGCCAGTAGGTTAGTTCGTTCTGTTAGAAATAATCCTGGAAAAGTACTGTTTTCCCCAGCCAATTCATATCTTCATTTATCTGCTTTACCATACTCTAACTGGGTTGGATGTCCTGATACTAGAAGATCCATCCCTGGTTTATGTATTTTCGTTGGAAAATCATTGATTTCTTGGCGAGCAAAGAAGCAAAATACAATAAGTCGCTCTTCTGTAGAGGCATAGTATAGAGCCATGGCTGACTTATCTTGCAAATTGCGGTGGCTAGTTTATCTTTAATGATTTGAATGTTTGTTTTACTACTTCCTTCTCTATGTATTGTGGCAATACCTCTGCTATTAAACTTGCAGAGAAACTAATGACTCATGAAAGGACCAAACACATAGAGATTAACTGTTACTTCATCAGGGAGAAGATCTCATCCGGACTCATCAAGCTTTTCCACATCTCAACTGAAAGTCAAATTATTAATAATGAACAAGTCCCTACCCATTTATAGGTTTTATGAATTGATATGCAAGCTTGGCATGTGTGACATATATGCTCCAACTTGAGGGGGTGTTCGAGATAGTATAATAGTATAGATTTACAAATATAATTTTTTGTTTTTGGATAGTTATATGTAAACTGTAGAATTACAGGTACTAGAATGGAACTTGGTCACATATATAAATACAGATGTACTGAAAGGAAAAACTAGCGTTTTCTGTTCTAGTGAGATTTCATTCATTCTTCTGCAAACCCTAAATCACAAATCTAGCAACGAATGTCAGTGGTTAACGGTGGGAATCAGTGTGCGGCGGTGGTGGGTAATGCCAACGTCAATTTTTTTTATTGATTGGGTTTATTAGTATAAAATATTTCTTAATAAAAAAGAGAGAAAGGATAAAGTGATAATCTCAACTTTTAAATTAGGATGTGTATAAGGTAGGGCGACAATTAGCAATAATCTTTTAAAATTATTTTCCATTTATAAGCTAGAATGAAATTAATTTAATTATTAAACTTGAATTAATATAATCAAAATATCAAAATAAAAATATCAAACACCAAAAAAATACTTACGAGAGAGTTAGTGAGCTAGCTTTTTTTTAAAAGTGAAATGTCATTAAGTATGAGACCGAGCCAAAGCCCAAATGGAAAGGTACAAGCAGAGAAACGGCCATTGGCTCCTACCACCCCCCAATCGAAACCCGGGGACAACAACAAACGACCATCGTTGATGAAGAAGCCAGAGGGAAGGGGCCCTCTGTCTTCAAGCTTTTCACTCTGAGTCCGACGCCAAGGGTTGCATCTCCGACACAACTAGATCTACAAGGTGAGACATGGAGGTAGACCAGAGAGAAGGAGAAAACAAGCCAAATCTGAATAACATCTAGCCTCCATCGCACCTTAGAAACGAACCATCATCTCCAGATCCGAGTGACCAGATCAGTGGGAAAAAGCTCAACCGGGGGGGGGGGGGGGGGAGGAAGATAGATCCACCAATAGGAAAGAAAGAGCCATGGAAGGCAAAACCAAGCACAAAGATGGAAGGGGAATAAAAGCGCACAAAAATGAAAAAGGAAAGAAAAAAATGGAAAAGGGCAACAAATTTAGTTAGTGCAATTGGTAATGATTCATATGATCGTTTGAAAAGAACATGTTTCAAATTCTGAGACGGATGAATTTTATTCTATGAAGAAAAATTAATAAATAATTGTAAAAACAAATCTAAGACAGAAAATCCTTGCGGTTTTCTAACCAACTTAATAACATCTTACTCTTCACTCTTCAGTCCCCTGACCTATTACTCCATCACATATTAGTCCAATACAAGTATCTTATTTGATTCTTAAACTATTACGGTGATTGATTCAAGTGAGGGCCATAATAAAACATAGGGTAAAGCTAATGTGGCTAGATCTAAAGTTTGAAGTAAAAGGAAAGGGATTTCACAGAGCCAGAGATCAGGTGTGAAGAAATCAAAGTTGTCAACCTGCGAGTTGATCCGGACCCGATAAGAAAAATGGGTGTCGCACACTCGTAGGTGGACCCGTTGCAGGGTTCTCATATTTGTGGTTGCACGACATCATTTTTCCATTTGGTTTTCGAATTGCACATTTTTCTGACTTTTCATTCGTCTAACCCTATTTTTGAAAATCTAAATTGAATAATTAAATATTAATTTTATATGAGAGTGTTTGAATTTTCACTATATGGTGGGTTCAAGTACGAGGTGTTATTTTGATATAATGTTTTATGTTATTACCCATATTTTAGATGATTTGATATAATTTATAAATGTATAAACACTGTGACGACTTTTTTAAGGGAGTTGCTAAAGGTCGCCCTTAAAATTGCTAAATGTCGCCCTAAAAAACATCAAAGTTACAAATTTAACCTTTTAGCTTCTTTACTCTTCCTTTAGAAAACAAACACAACTTAGTAAAGAAAATAAAACATTATTCAAAAGAGAGAATCCATCATCGTCATTCTGGAGTTGGAATCGTCGATATGATATCTGGAGCATGACTAGCGACCCTGAATCAGTAAAGTTCAATCAAAAAATTGAAAAAAAAACAAAAAAAGGGAACCGTAGCTCATTTGCGGTTGGCCCATGGGCCAACCGCAACTCACTTGCGGTTGCACCATGGGCCAACCGCATACCGCAAATGAGCTGCGGTTGGCCCATGGTGCAACCGCAGCTCACTTGCGGTTCCACCATGGGCCAACCGCAGCTCACTTGCGGTTGCATCATGGACCAACCGCAAATGAGTTGCGGTTGCACCATGGACCAACCGTAACTTGCCTTAGCTTGAGCGTTTTTTTGGAAATTTCGCTAGAGAACGGGCGACGACGACGGGGGGAAAGACGCCGACGAACTGGTGCGTCGAGAGGGATTCGTGAAGAAGGCAGATGAGAGGTTCAGTTTGAGGGGTTAGGGATTGTTTAGTTTGTTTAAATTTTGAAATTTTATTGGGGGTATATAAGTTATTTATCATTAGAGTTAGGGCGACCGTTAGCAATTTTAAGGACGACATTTAGCGATTCAGTTTTTTAATATATCAATACCAAACCGGATAAATAATCGGATCATAATACCCAACTCAATTATTCGAACGGGCCAATGGGCTAAACCGAGTTGATAA